AAAAAAAAAAAAAAAAAAAAAAAAAAAAAAAAAAAAAAAAAAAAAAAAGACTACAACAAATATAGCAACAACGTTAAAGATACATACAAAGTCAATTTTTTGTCACAAAAACCAACCAAATGCCAGCATATAGTTTCAAGTAGTATAACTAAGAGAATTACCAAAAGGCATTGTTTAATTTTACCCGAAAGTGATGTTTGAACAGATTTTTCTGCTGGCATTCTAAGCTGTATGTCAATGGGTCAGGAAAGTAGGTCACGGAAGTAGGTTAAATTTACAACCATAAATTTGAAGAAAGGAGCAGTCTAAAGGTATTTTTTGGCTGATCGAGTGATCTATTCAGTTTATCCCTTGGCATGTCAAATTTATTTGAGTCATATGAGAACCTAGTAGAAGTGGTTTACATGTGTTACTGGGAATCCACGCTCCACCGATGCTCGGTTCGTATGTACCTTTAACATCATCATCAACAACAACAATAATATATTTCTGAGGATGGGCCCTACCTGTAGGCTCTAAGATTAAACGTGTATTATAGGTCAAATAATACACAAATGTGAACACACACCATCAATTAATGCATGCCTATATGTGCGATGCCCAAAATTGGACTTTATTTGTTTACTCCATTTGCTAATTGTCTCATATAGTAAAAAAAGAAAAATGAAAGAAAGGTAAAGATCTTGAAGAAAACTACACGGAAACTCAAAATAAGGCAAAGTCAACATCCTAACATTAACTTCAAATGGTCCTTGTTGTTACGCGCTGGAGAAAATTCGTCTGCTCGACGGTACGTCATGCACCTCATGGCAGCTTATAAACCAATCAGCGGCTGGTCCAAATTTTAGGCTGAAGAATTCAAACAAGAGAGAAATATGGCTGACAGTAATGTCATAGAAGAAGGTCCTGTAAGATTTCGAGATGGAAAGAAGGTTAGTAATGGGAAAATTATATTAAAGTTCATTTTGAGCACAAAAGAAACCAACATGTATTGACTGGTTTTCTTTTAATTTCAGTGGAAACAGAGGTGGTGCGTTTTGAAGAAGCTTTCTCCGGTCGCAGGTTGGTGATTTTTCTATGATACTACTATTCTCACCCAGAAAGTCTGTCAAATATGTAAGTCGCGAAATTTATGAGCTCCAAATCGAAATGTTTTCAGACATAAATTTGTTTTGTTGAAATGGACGAACAATAACGAAGAAATCACCTCTTATATGAAATTATGACAATGCACGCAGTTATATTACCCTTGTCTCTCTTGACTCACCCCTCCCACGCGTTGAACGCGGAGAACCAATAGTCGATAAAGTTTTAGAGTAAATTTAGAAATATAGTTATATATTTGAAAGTTCATACATTTGAGCTATAAAACCAAACTTGACTTGGACTTATAACCGCTTGTTATAAAACTAGACAAATTTAATTATATTTGTGAAATAATATTTTGTTTCATTATTACATAGCACATGGAAAACACTGAAATGATTATGGCATTCTGAATAACAAGTTTCATTCTTTAGTCTCATCATTTATCAGTTTGCTTTTTAACCATGAAAAATATTAATGATTCATTTGTTGCTATTTTAATATGCCTGCATTACAGAGATTCTCTCCTTTATGCTAATATAATGCTCAGTTCTGAATGATATCAAAATGAATTTGAATAATGGTTCTTCCACAATTAGTGTACCATTTGTTGAGGGATTATATACTTTAAGTATATTCATAATGCATTAACAGTATCATAAATGCTTTCTGTATGTGTAATTTTAATTAGTGGACATGCATTGTTGAAACATCCTGATGTAGAACTGTGGTTAAGTTGTCTCTATACAGACGATGTTACACATTCATGTGATAAAGTCAGGTCAGTGGTAGTACAGAAAAAGGAAGACTCGGTCAAAGAAAAAAGTAAAGAATGACCACTGAAAGAGAGCTATGTAAATTTGGTATTTAAAGCGGAATGTCAGCTTATCATTTTTGTACACTGTTTTGTTTGTACACAAACATATATGCTGCCATATGCAACTCAGAGTTATCAGAAAAGCTTTTATGCACAATCTGTCAAATGGCACACTATTAGGGGTTATTATGGTTCATTTTCTGGTACAACATATTTACACATATTTAGAGTCTCTATGCACTGGATTGAACTTTGCCCTGTATTTGCCTATCCTAAACACCCTATTTTCACAGCTTAATTGAACACCATAGCACACAATATGTGTTCATAAGTTATGTGGTTAATCAAGCGAATGGGCAGTCAATAGCTTAGCACAATATTTGAGGGACACTTTGCAGAACATTTTACATAGTTGACTGTGCCGTCAGTATTTGGCATATCTTGCAGATTTAAAAAGTCTGTAGTATCTGTCGACTGATGGTAGAAGAAATTAACAATTTTTAGCACTGAGCTAAATGGTGTTTAAATTGGTTCATGTTTAAATCAAATATTTTATAATTGTTTTTTTTTGTACTGTTGAAATCATGTCAACAGAACACTGTGCATTTGCAGGATTTTTTCTTTTTTTTAGATTGATGTGATTTTATGGGCTTTCTTAATTATCATGGCTGTGCCATCAAAGCCAAAGCAGTAATTGTACAGCACTAGTGTTATTTTTCTTAAATTTGGTTTCATGTGACTGGACCCATCTGCATTATGCCAATATTTTTCTTTATTTTGTGATGTAATATCTATGATAAGCTTGTATGCAGGCTAATAGTTCAGGGTCTGGTAACCATTCAGAAAATTGAACTTAAGTAATATGTTTGATGGGAATTGACCAATGTAAGCCTTGTGTATAAAGTTTGATTAGCAGGGCTTGATTCATAAGCCTCTGAAATAGTGTGCTGTTAGAGATGCATAAGCTCTAAAGCTAATATTGGGCATTGTATTTTATGTTAATTTTCATTCAACTTATTTTAGTGACATTACTTATATTTTTATTGCTTGATAACTATTCAAACTCCATATTTAAGGTCTTTATTATGACCCTTATCCCATTCACAGTCTTTGCCACAAGAAGTAAGATTTTAAGCGAAGTATCAACTATGATATTCAATCACCTTAGAACTTTTGGACTTTGATATCATTTAATGCATGTTTTATGCTGTAGGTAGACTGCCTTTTGGAAATTGAAGCTGTATAGAAAAAGTAAAAATAGCAGAGTCACCTCCCCCAACATAAAATGATTAAATCAAAAAATCATAGTATAGCATGATAAAGTCACAGTGCATTGCTGGATATTTTAGGCCAGTCTACATGTATTCTTGGTCATAGGCCATACTGGAGACAAATTGTGAATAATTTCCAGCTGAAGTGCTAATTAAAACTTGAGGGAATGTTGGACATTAGTCTGTGGTCAATAGAGCTGAATAACAGGAAAGAGTCCTGCCCAGTGGTCACTTTTCAATATTAACACAACAACTGTGCACAGAGTGTTGCACAGCAGAATAAAATGCAACCTTGTAGTGATATCAAACTGATGCTGATGTGTGTAATGAATCAGTGTGAATATTTAACTGATTTAATTGTTGATGTCATAGTACACTGCTGAATTTGCCAAAGGTAGTTTATATTTGATTTACAAAATTTATATTGATAGACTTGATTCTTTGAAGAAAGTAACCATTGTAAATATTTTCATTCAAAATCAGTCAGTTCTTGATCATCCTTTCATATTACATACACAGACACATGTAAGGACTACATTAGAATTGTTCGAAATGGATTCAATCAAGGCCATTTGGACTGTGTGATATCATGCAAGACTAGTAAAGGTACACAAATCCATGCCAGGTGGGGTTAACTTTTTTAGTGATCAGGGTGAAGCTCTATGGCGGGGATTTCTTCCCAGAAAGCAATACATAAATGACGTGATGACCTAAAATGTTTTGAATTTTGTGTGAACTTTTTTACAGAAGACTACAATTCAAAAGAATTCAAGACAAAACAACCAGACAAAATACGCATGGATAAAATCTGTCGACTTTTAACCCAAGAGTGCTGGCTATCTTAGATGATTCCCATTAGTGATGATGTGTACCTTGAGTGGACAAGCTCATCAAGGCTTGTTAAGACCACTGTAGTAGGACCAACCTCATGCAGTGCAATCTATCCCACATCACACTTAGGAAGTGTCTCAAAGATGATCTGATAAATAGGTGGGAGGTGGTTATGCAACATATCCTTCTCCAGTGTCCCTATTGCTACTGGGTATTATAGTCACCTGAGATTTCAATATAAGTTGAGGTGCCTGGGGCTCAGGGTCAGTTGAATCTCTTACGTCCTCTAACAAAAATTTGCTTGTGGACTTGGGAAGTACAAGTTAAAGGGATAAAAACTTCTCATAAGAGATTCAAAATTCCACTATCAATACATTGAAAACAAATTCCATTTTTCTTCCAAAATAGCAGTTATCATAGTTATTCTGAAATCTGTACTTGCCATTGGACCACCTGGAAGTTAACAGATAGCTGCCTTCCATAATAATCTCATAGGAAATTATAACAAAGAAGATATATATATATATGATCAACTAACTTTGAATGTTGGAACTCATTCATTTATAACCATTGGAAAGTATGGAAAATGGTCCAAGGAAAATCCATTTTATGGCAGTTTCTGGCTAGGAGTTATTACTTTAGTAAGGATTATATTAATGCAGTTTTAAAAATGTTGTAGTGCTTAATTTTATTTTGTAACAATTGGCTTTTAAGATAAATTGCTAGATCAGAAGGTGCTGATTTTTTCATCATCTAAAATGTGCTGAAAAAAAGGAAGAAAATTGATCAAACTCCTATAAATATAGATATAAAATTTTTCAAGAAGGTTGTAGTGAATTTGTCTTGATATTGACCTAAAAAGAAGGAAAGTGAGAATAAGAGAGATATCTTAATGGATTTCCTGATTATGTTGAAAATTTCACTTAATAAACATAACCAGCTCTTTTTAATTAGTTCAGGTGCCTTTAATAATACAGTTTATCAATGGAAGCTTTTTGTGTTCACCATCTCATTAGGAGTGGAGCACAGATGGTTTAGATTTGTAGCAGTCTTTCTTTGTGGGGTCCCATCTTTGAAGCAGGTGAATAACCATAAATGGTAAAATGAAAAACAATCCCATGTCTGTATAGTGTTTTCATACTTAATTCCCAAGTGATTTTAGCCTTGTCAGCACATTATGAAGTAAAATAAAAAAGAAATATGAAGTCAGTATTATATAATATGTTAATTTTCCACAAATATAATGTACACTGCATGGAGAAGTATGTAGAAATCTACTTACATAATTTTGGACCGAAAACTATTGATGACTTTAGTAATAGGCAGTTGATAGGTAGATTTATGTCCAGAAAATGTGTGTATTGGTAATTTTCTGCATGTTCCTTGAATAATCTTAGAGGAAGTAGCAACTCATTTTATGGGTAGACACACCCTGATTTATCATTCATTGATCAATTAAATGTATAAAAGGCACAGCTGGCTATAAACACCAGAGACAGGGAATAATGATATTTATGTGGATCAGGAAGTATATTATAAAATGTACATTATTAGAGATGCTTATGATGTTACATGAACTGAAGTACGTGAAGTACATGTTTTTTTCACGTATAACCTGAATTGCAAATTATGATTACATAGAATGGATAAGTTACCTTTCATTTTTTGTTTATTTATTCTGTCTGGACATTATATGTTCATTAGTGTGTTACTGCTGTGGATTGAAGCCCAATCTTCAAACTATAGATAGTAAATCAAATGACTAATCTTGAAATAGATGTACAAAGTATAAAACCTAATCAAAGAGACACAAATTGAACAGATTTCTCCAGTTTGAACAATTCCCTTTGCCGTTCTCTTTTCTTAAAAGAACCACTTCATTCTATGATGTCTGTCAGTTAAGGCTTGATTTCCTGCCAGGGGCTGTTCGGTTTGTTTAAGGGGTAAACACTGATACCACACATGTTGGGCCCACCTACCAGTCCTGATACAGAAAGGTACTGTAAGCAGTTCAATCTAAATTGCAACATGGAAAGGGTTACTGTTTAGGAGTAAGCTGGCTGTGTACTAGGGCTACTTCCAGCTTGGTTTCAGCAGGTTGTACAGAACAGTAGTGTTCAGAATAGACTATTAGAGAGAGAAAAGGGTGTTTCACAGAGAGCAGTCTGGCTGAGGTGTGCAGTGGGTTTCATTATAAATTTTGAGGAGATAAGGTTATTTTTTTGAAAGTTTTTTGGCTTTGGGAAGTTAAAACATAATTGAAGTAGAAATTGTAAATTGGCAGAGAGTGCAAGCATAAGGACTCAATTGAGAACAATAGTTAATCGAAAAAATCTAATTGAACAAATAATGGTCAGTTGGCAGTCTCGAAAGAAAAGCATCTGGAACCTTTTTTTTTTCATTGTTAACAAATGGATGAATAAACTCTTACAAATACAACAATTCAGAAGATACACTGAAGACATATTGTGAAATTGTATTAAGTAATTGATAAAATTGTTATGATAATATTTTGTTTTTACCTTTTTAGATCGTTTACACATTTCCCTGTACAAAGACAGCAACGACAGATACAAAAGTGGTCAGGAAAAAGCCACCCACTCACTAGAGGACTTTTTAGGAACAGAGACAGGACTCTGCATAGAGCGTGAGCAACATACCATGTCTGTGATATGCCAAAGCCAAGTATTGACTTTTGCCTTTAATAATGAAGAAACTGTGATTCAGTGGGAGAACAAAATAAAAACACACCTTGGACAAGGTAGGTAATTCCTGAAGTGAAGAGTAACCTTTTGATTAATAATAAATTCTTTATTCTTCCTTTATTCACGGTTTTCATTCCCATCTTCAGAGTTGTGAGGCTTATTTTTAAATTAAAAAATTTTCTTCCCCTTAGAAGAAGATAAAAAAAAAACCTTTATAATGAAAAACAGTATGGTCTTTGATTAGTGCAGATGATTCAAGTGCATAAAGTAAGTGGTTATGTAGTGTTTGTCACTTTGTTTTACTACTGATTTTCATACATTATTTTTGAAATGAAATAAATTGGCACGATGAAAAACTGAACAATATTCACATTACATCATGCCAGTAACTTATAAAACACAGGTCTACAGATTAAGCTTGAGATCAGTGTGAAATTCATAGATTTAGGGTTGTCTCTCACTTGACCACCTGTGTACTCCAGTGTTAATGAAGAGACCTGGGGCAAAGAGGAATGCATCCTCAGATTCACCAAAGTAAGACCACATTCCCTTACCTAGATCAATCTAGCAGGCTCAACCCATCTCTGAGGGGATTCTTGCTAAATTGCATCCTGCTAGATTGATCTAGGTATGGGAACAGGGTGTAAGACATTTCTCCCACTTGAGTGCTTGTGAACACCCCTCCTCCCCAGGCACATTGTGCAGTATGAGGGAGGTGTGAGCCTCCTGACTCCTCAGTGAATAGAAGTACAAATCACTTCCTCACCTGAATTATATAGCCCAGAATGTTATTACACAATATTGAATGCTCTGACTACATGTGTGTCTATCACACTGGATAGGACAAGGCAAGTTGCATTAAATTGCAACATATTTCATTGCTGCCTAGGACTTTGTGGAAGTTTATGGATAAAGATGATTGCAGGTTTATCTCATACCACATATTTCAGGCTTAACAATCTTACAGAATGGAATATGAATTGATTGGGCTCTGCAACAAATAACTGACACTTGGAATGTGGTCAGCTTATTATGACATTTTTGTTTTGTATGACTTTCCTCATAGCCCAAACCAGGCTCAAGGTCTAATGGGTGTCACATATAAAAGTGTTGTTCCTACTTTTCCTCTGGATTAATATTCCTAATTCAGGTTAATGGTTGAATATTTGGAGATTGTTTTGAAATTGAGGAGATTTTTGGAAAAGGGATTCAACTGCATTATTTCCTTTTTCTATTAATATTTATGATATTTAGGGAAAATCAGAAAGTTCATACTAGGCTGGTTCTGAAATGTCATCAGTTTTATTTATCTTTTCAACTTGAAAGTAAATGACAGAATATTTAGATATCTGTAAATGCACTAGCATATTGCGGTTATTCACGTGGAAGGAAGGAAAGCATTTACTCTTTTGTGCCCCCTGTTCAAATCTCCAGTAACATCTCGATCCTTCAAATTGTATACCATCAGATTAAGGCAAAGATAATGAGGGTGTATATTGTATCTTCTGCAACCGTAAAATTACTTTTTTGTTGTAAGATAAGTTATGGGTGTAAGATACACACAACCATAAACTTTTTGGATTCCTTGGTATTTTCTAGTAGGTATTTCTAATGCTATCATGCTCATCAAACCTAATAACAACTGATTAAAATGATTGTGATAAGCAAAGTGTTGACATTGCATTAGGTGTCGGTATGCTTGAGTTGATTCAGGAATAATTGCCATCTAACACAAATTGAAAATATGTTACTAGAGTAAGTAAATATGTTATCAGAGAAAGTAACAGAAAAGGGCAACTTAAAATTGGAATCTGTGTAGTTATAAACTATGCACACCATAATATATTCTTTTTGTGAAAATCTTGTATCTGGTGTTGTTTATCTATTAAACCCATTTTAATTTTGCTAACTGATGTTCGGAGTTCCTTTGTTGATTTAGCAAAATTTATGTGATATGTCAGAAGTTGCAAATATTTTATAATTTGAGAGACGTATGACAAATCGTAAAACGTGACCATGTTATGATAATCTCCTCCATGTGTGTGTGTCAACAGGAAGTGCAGGCAGTCTGGTGTGATTATAAAGGCAAATGGTCTGGCTCAGCACCAGGATGTGTTATCGTAAAGCTGCTGATTTGTCTGATGCTAAACACCTATTATACTAATTACTGGCTAATAGGCTGATATCTGTGTTTCTCCATCCTTTGGACAGGTATAATCTTACCTCCATCAACATGACATGGCTTATAACAGTTGGAAATGATAGGGAGGTTTTAATTTTAGGAAGGCGGAATTTACTAGTGGTAGTTTTATCTGATCCAGTCTTTATGGTGTGAACTGTCTCGCCAGGTGTATGAAATGTGTAAGAACAATCACAAGGATCATTATTACATTCTTGGAAATGGAATAATAAATATTGGTGTAGTCTATGAATGAGACTTTTCTGTCAAAATAATTTCCATTTATATATTTTGACCACCTGTGGTGTTTAATGTGGTTTGCAAGGCAAGATCATATACATTAGGTGTCAGTTAACAGCTTTGAAATTGAGGCTCAACTCCTCGTGAAAAACACAATTTTATCATTTTTTTCAAGATGTTCAAGCACAACAACTGCCTGTTTGTCACCTTGGGGCCAGAAAGGAAGTCATAAAGTGTTCAGTATCTTGTCATCTGTGTCTCACATGCCTTTGATGTGCAGCATTTTTTTCCATGAAGGACCTCCTGTTGAACCCTGTGATTGCTATCTTCACCCTGGTTAGCTGTTAAAGTGGTGTGATTAATTGTGCTCCGTACCCTGCAATCTTCTACTTCATCAAGGAGGTATCAAGGCCTCTTAACAATATGTCTAATTGTGGATATGTTCAACATCTGTGGAATTCTCTATGATCAGTTAGCAGTATTGATTTTATTTGTAATTTGTAAAGAAAACTGATGTGCTCAAACATGTAGTTTGTGTAAAAGGTGGAAGTGATTTGTTAATTAAACACCCTCTCTCCCCTTGCTATTGTGTTTCATTTGGTTTGAGGTGTTATACTATGTTATAATACATTTATTGACTGACTTAATATAAATGGCAGACATATAAAAATACATTCTTGCAAAAAAAAAAAAAAAAAATTGTGTCATCTATTTTAATTCACTAAAATTTAGAAATTTGTTGCTGTTGCATTTTATGCTAGAGTACATTTACTAGTATAAATGCTTGAGAATAAGGTATGTCATTTATGACTTAAGTTAGATATGGAAACAACTGTTTTTGTGACAGGTTAGCACTTTAGCTATCACTTTAATGACATATTCCTCCAGCAAGGTTAAAAGTCATACCAATCACCTGAACTTTTCCTCAAGGCAGTCAACTGGATGAATCTGTTTTTGATGTTGTAAAAATATGAATGAAATCTGTGGGAAAGAAATAATGGTATCTTTTCAAAATTCAACGAACATGCTTTTAATGAAGAATTTCTTTTTCTAAGCTGAAGATTTTCTTTGCATGTCTCCGTGATGAATTTTTCTGGACTAGGTTGTTTAATGTCTCTTTCTTTTCTGTAGTTTTAAGATAAAATGTGAACCAGGAATGAGCTATAAGGGAGTAAGGGCGCATTCCCATAGATTTTAGATCGATCTATCCCCATGGGGAGTCTCACTAGATCACTGTCAGATAATCCGGCTCAAATGCCCGTCCCGCCTACTACAAGCTGTAAGCGGGTAATTAACTTTCGTGTCCGCCCAGCTGACAGCTATTTAGCGTGAACCCCCAAGGAGTTAGGTCGATCTAGTTTGGATCGATCTAATCTCTGGGAATGGGGTCTAAGATTAGGTGTGTTCAAAAGTTTGTTTTAAAAGGTGAAATGTATCATTAGGGACAGAAATGGCCTCTGTTCTGAAGGAAATTGTTTCCTGTCAATACCCAAACCAGGAAATTAATGCTTCCTCTGAAACAGAAACACTTCATTTATAAACTCTATGATCTACTCATACCCTTGGAATGATTGGCCCTACCTCTTTGTAATAAACACTTGTATTCACAAGCATTTAATCATCAGTGTCATTCTAGATTTTGTTTTTGAATATCAAATGAATAAGCCGTACAGGATTTTCTTCTCTTCAGCTTTGCTGAAAAAAAAAAAAAACAACTTAATTTTGAAGACCCTTAACATTAAGCTCATATGCTCTGAATGGTTAATGGATTGTCTTTTTGACAAACCCTAATGTGAATGCCATTATAGAATATTGTTCACTTTGCTGTGCTGTGTTGTTCCCAAAGTGGCAGGAAGTCTCTTTGTAAAGCCAAACAACATTGTGGTTAGAGATCTTTTGCCTTGTAGCCACAAATATGTAAGCGATCATTTAGTCCTAAAAAGTGTAGGAACCAGAGGCAGAAGAAATGGGTCTTTTTCTTGAAAATTGCTCCCCATTTACTGTTTAGATATCACGCCCATTGAATAAAAAAAACAGAAAGAGAGACTTCCCTGTCAGCTTGTCCATTTTTTTGGGTGACAGTTTTTACTGTCCCATTCACACCTGTGTAGCACCTGGGGCAAGTGGCACAGTCACACCGAAATAACTACCGCAAGGTTCATTGGTGAACAAAGTACACAAAAATTGTGTTGAAATGAGATGCTGTGGATAAATAAACTCTGCAAGCAAATATTAAAGGTGGAATAAAGGAAAATAAACATAACCTGCTTTTGTGGAGGCTATAATATTTTTCCTTACTGGATGGAAAGAGAGGGAGGGAAACCACAGGAATTTATTACAAATTATGTATGCAACCATTAGTCTAGCACAATCGGGGATAATCGGCTCTCTTCTTTCCTTTCTTAGCATTTTCACACAGTGTGAACCCTGGGTCCTCATGTTTGGCAAATTAGTCAGGATTCAAAACAGAGACAGACTGGCTACTGTTGGCTCATGACAAACCACCAGTCACTAATCTGTGCTTTTGTCTGCACAAGCCACTAGGTGGAAGAGTGTGCTAGTTGAGATGCCAGGAATAAAATGATTGCATTTGACTTTATGGAGTGAAAGATCAGATCAGCACAGCAAAATCCTCTATTAATTTTTACTGCCAGAAGTGTCTAGGACAAATAGCAAAGCAGTAACATATTGACTGAATATTGTTTGGTATCTGGATCATGAATCTAAGAAGAGTTTTATGTTTAAACAGGGCAATTCCCAGGATCAGGGGTACAGGCTGTCCAAATTTGTCACCTGTAATTTCCTACAAAATTTCAGGCAGTCCAAACCAGCATTAAAAAAAAAAAGCTCCATCTCACAAAGCCATTTTTGAAAGATATGAAATGATACTGGCAGCCTTCCAAATGATGGCTGGATGGTTCAATGGGAAAAGCCTTTTGTTCAAATATAGTGAACTTGGTCTTCAAGGAAGATTATATATCTTTGTAGTTATGAAAGGCAGTATTTTTTCTTGCTAAAAATAACTGTTTCATTTTATTTATAAGATAGAAATGTATTAATATAAGTAGTTGTAAAAAAGGGACTTGTTCCTTTAGCTTATCTCAACTTATTTTCAAAGCTAGAAGACTATTTTAAAGTTAATAGAATGAGTATTTTTTTCTTTTTTGCATTAATGTTAACAACTTCAACTCATTATTTTTTATAAGTATGAAAATTCTCTTTATTTGATCATAAAATGTCATGGTGTTATTTGTGTATGGTCATGAAGTATTAGCTTCTGCAGAGACACATTTCTATTTATCACTCTTCTTCCTTTTCTTTATTTTGGAAAATGTTAATTATATATTTATTTACTTTAAAAAAAATTACAAATATAACTGCTAAAAATGTGAAAGAAACTCTTGGAATAGTTGAACATTTGTATGAGTTTGAAGATAATTGGAATACTTTTAAAAGATTTAGAACAGAAGATAGTGAAAGTATCAAAACTAGAGTCTTTTCTATAAAACTAATTGTATGTTTATATTTTTTTCACAGGTAAAAATTTCCTAACACAACTGGTGAAAGCTCCTCCTGGCAGCAAGCTGTCTATAGGTTGTCCATACACTATACACATCCAGGGACAGAAACTGTGTGTCACCAGTGGTAGCCCACCTAAACTGTACCAGACCTGGCAGCTTAGTGATATCAGACGGTTTGGAACTGTGGAAGACAAATTTGTGTTTGAAGGGGGCTCACGATGTGGAAAGGGTGAGGACTTTCTTTTTATTTTATTTGAAACTTTTGAAATTGTGAAAATAAAAACACATACAAGATGAAAGGGATGAAATTGTATATTTGATATTAGATGTATTCTTTGGTTATATTGCATATTAATACCTTATAGATTTTGTGAACAGTGATTATGTCAGTATATATGCACAACTTTATGCTCTCTTATTTGTAGGTGCTGGCATCCATGCCTTCTCTTCAGACTCTGCCTCTGAGATCACACAGATTCTTAATGCAGCTTCATATGGACAGTTACAAGCAGCTAAGAGAAAGACCACATTACTAAGTATGTGAAATCAAATGAACCTTCCATATGGTCATTGACTATATTTTCAGATTATGCTTTCTTCAGTGTCATATTTTGCACAGGACGAGTATGTGATGCATTTCTGCTGGATATTGACAAAAAGAGACATGAATTGAGCTTAGTGTATTGAAAGGATTCAAATTGCTATATGAGTTCAGGGAAACTCAGTAGAATCCAATCTGATTATGGGTTGACATGTTTCCTGTGTCTATGACCTAAAATGTCTGATTGAATAAAATCCTTTTCTCCAGCATATTGCTAATTCCCAAGGTTATTAACTTTTATTTATTGGTTTCTGGACTTATCAGTCAATTTGGTGGTGATATGGGGAAAAAACACTGAAGTCAGTGCAGCAGATTCCCCAAATGAATAGTCTTTGCATTGGTATTTTATAAGATTTGTGATGCTTTCAGTTAAAAGTAGAGTTTTCACTCTCTTGTTTTATATTATGTTCTTGGTCAGTGATATTACAGTGATATCTGTGGTATTACATTTAAAATTTATTGTAGGCATATTTAATATAATGATTAAACTTGAGACAAAAATTTCATTCAAATGTCACTGTTTGTCCTTATTTAATATCTTTAAAAAAACATGGCAAAATCTGATTACTTATTTTTCGTTCAATATTTCAGGATCTCGATTGAGTCTTCCAGCAATGTTCCAAGCTTATAGGTCATCCAATACTCAGGCCACAAGTCCACATGCCAAAAACTTCGAAAACACTCAAGTGAATGCCGATCTCAATTTTCGATCTCACCACCAGCTTCACAGTCGCCAGTTATCTCTTCATCAGATTGATGAAAAACAGTGTCTAGTCAGTATTGAAAATTTAGGCCGTAGAGGACAGGGGAGACAGACTGCAGACAATGCAGGCTTTGATAGTGACCAGGAGCAGAGTCACGGTGGCAGAACTTTGCAGCGTACCCTGTCCAGCACCTTGCCAAGATCGCAAAGGTTGGCAGGTCGACAGTCCAGCTCTCCTGATGGTCAGTTTGATCAAAGTTACTTGAATGTAGACTTGTTCGGTGCTGGCCCCACTAAGAATTGTTGGGGTGCCACTGGTGGTGCAACTTCAGATATGAGTACTAGAAGGACAGGAAACAACAAAACTTCCATACATCTCCTGGATGATATATTTACAAACCTACCTCACCCTAAAGTGCCAATGTCAAAATCAAATGAAGATCCTGTGTTTGCAACAGTTCAGTTTTCTAATTTCATGCCATCATCATC